ACACACACACACACACACACACACACACACACACACACACACACAGACGCACACACACACAGACGCACGGGCACACACACACACAGACACAGACACACATGCACACGCACACGCACAGGCACAGGCACAGGCACAGACATACACAGACACACATCCACAGACACACACACACACACACACACACACACACAGCTCTGATAAATGTATCACCAAAGCAAAATGCTGCTACAAGCACAAACATATCTGGCCCATTTATCTTCTCCTTCATGGAAACTCGAACATGTTTCAAATGCATCCATTCATTCAGAATTCAAGCTGACAACACCACACTGGGAAGAAGAAGAAGCTGGGGAACGAATAAAGGGGAAAATTGAAGTCTTAAGCCAAAAAGAAGCATCTTTGTGCATATGTCAGACACAGACGCACACGCAGACACAGGCACAGACACAGACACACACACAGACACAGACACAGACACACACAGACAGACACACATGGGAATAGCTCACCTGCTCTGACTAAAGTGACAAACCTGCCCTCTCACCCCACACACACTGCATTATATCTGAACTTTTGTTATGGTTACAATGCATGTGCAATAGACATTTTTACTGTGCATATTGCAAATGATCATTTAACAATTTACTTTATTACATTTACTCATGTATAATATTTACTTACAAATTTTGTTGGTATATTCTAATATTACATTGTGTTGTGTATATTGTGCAAATTGTGAACCTTATTTATAGTATATTTTGAATGGTACAACAGTAAAATATATATCGTTCATAATAGTATATCTTTCTAATGCCCTGTAGTTTTTTGTGATATACAAAATAATAATGTCTATAATCAAACATTTTTAAATAAAAAAAACAATAACATAATATAAATAGAAATAATTATTATATGATAAATAAATATTTTTTGGACACTAGTCACCCTAGAAATGTCTATAATCAAACATTTTAAAATAAAATAAAATAACAAAAATTTAAATAAAATATTTTTGTACACTAGTCACACTTAATGACTAACTTTTTACTAAAAATAAGTAGAATAATTTTTTTCACACTAGTCTTCATAGAAATGTCTATAATCAAACATTTTCGAATAAAATAAAATACAATATTTTTGGACACAAATAACACTTAA